GCATTTGTCATTTGTGGATTTTGAATGACGGCCATTCTGACTGGTGTGAGGTGATAACTCATTGTAGTTTTGATTTGCATTTCTCTGATAATTAGTGATATTGAGCATTTTTTCATGTGCTTTTTGATCATTTGTATGAGGAAATATACACAAAATGTTATGATAACTCACAGAAAAAAGTGAGACAATGAGTGTGTATATGTCCATGAATGACTGAAAAATTGTACTGAACACTGGAATTTGTCACAACATTGTAAAATGATTATAAATCAATAAAAAATGTTAAAAAAAAAGCCAACAAATAAACAGTAAAATAGAGAAAAATTAATGTCTTTAAAGTTAAAGGACTTCTAAAAATCACTAATAAACACTAATTCTAACAGCTAAACGGCTTAACCATTCAGAAGAGATATAAAGTACCCAATAATTTTTTTTAAAAACTTTCTTATGAGAAATCAAAGAGGATAAGATACAGATAATATTTTTCCTCCTTCCCCCTCCCTCAGTCAAATTAACAAACCCCAAAAGAAAATGTGAGTCAGGCATTCACGCACCACTGGAGTTTATACCTGTGAAGCAGCGTGGCCTTGTACAAGGACCTACGACGTGACTATGGCCCTTTGACCCAATAATGCCACTCCTGGAGACCGGCATTAGGACCTGAGCAGAAATGCAGTCAGCCACAAGGATCTTCCCTGCAGCTCCACCAAGGCCCTCTTGGCTCCCCTGAGTCGTGACACTTCTGCATCTAGGCCTACACACAGGCAGGCTATCCCGGGTCACTGCACCCCTCCTGACCTGCCGGGATCCTACTGGGGTTTCAGGCCTTGCCTCAGATGTGACTGACTGGGCTGTGGGCCTTCCCTGTCTCTGCGAGCACTGGGCACACACACTGTAATTACCCACTGACTTGTCTCTCTCCCCCAGCAAACAGGAAGAGAAATTGTGTCTGCCTTGTCTGGCTGTATTCCCCTGTACCCTGCACACAACACATAAGCTAACTCAAAAAAACCAGAAAGGTGACACGCTCTGTAATAATGTCCTGCCGCTCCCCTCGGAGCACCCCGCCCCCCCCCCCCCCGTCCCGGATGCCGCAGACAGAAGGCAGGACTTACAGACATGAAGTGGAACCTGAGGACGTTGTCGATTCCCAGCGCTTTCAGCTGCAGGATGACGGGTGCCAGGTTGCTCCGCTGCATCTCCGGAACGGTGGACTGAGGCAGCTTCTCAAAGGCTTCCTCTGTGGATAGGAAGTCAGAACTGTTTGGGATCAAATGTCACAGTCACATTCAATCACAGTCCTTCTCTAAGTCTACCAAGAGGCTCTAGGATTCTGGGCTCAGATGCATATGATACTGCCATATTCAGTTGTTTCACCTTGAGGAAAATCATTCTATTTTTTAAATACCTTAGATAAATATATTTGGACAGTATCTCTTTATAAAAGTTTGCCCTTTTACTTTAGATTGCTTTTTTAAATGTGCTTTTTGTTAGCAAAACATCGAATCAAAGCAACAGGTTATTTGCTGAATCACTGTGGACACTCAGTTACCATTCCCTCTGCTTGGGACGGAGTAAGTCAAGGAAGCAAGAACTGCACATAAAAGCAAAGAACAATTTCAAAATGAACCACCAAATATAACCCAAACACAACCAGAGCATCACCAGAATATAAAAAATGACCGAACTGGGGGAGGAGGGTAGAGCACATGCTTAGAATGCACGAGGTCCTGGGTTCAATCCCCAGTACCTCCATTAAAAAAAAATAAATTGTATACAGAGCAAAAACTGTCCAAATCTAATTTTTTAAATCAATGAGCCAGGCAGACATACAACACACCCAGAATCTGATGCTGCCCCCAAAGATTACTGAATGCTTACATGCACCACCAGGAATAAAAGGTGACCTCAAACAGGAAAAAGCACCACAAGGCTCAGAAGTGCCAAGGTGAGGAGGGGGCGGAGAGGGGGACGGGAGGGCAGGAGACTCTGGGAGGCCTTTTTATAAAAGCTAGGTAAAAAGGGTGGGGGAAAAAAAAGAGGGAGGAAGAGATGAAATCCTTCTTGTGTATATTTAGAAAGCTTATGATTACATGCAGAAGGATTACATACAAACTCCTCCCACATCAGTCAACATTTTAACCGTGCACACCCTCCTTTCACACAAGGGTGGCCCAACTTCCATTCAGATCATAAATCTTCAATTAACTAGAAAAAAAATCAGAACAAAGCAAAATGTATCTTGAAGAAGTAGCACTATCACTTAAGGACTTCAAAAAGGTTTTCTTTGAGAAAATAGACAATAAATATTTGGTGGACTGATTGATACAAATTGCCAAATGCATGGGTCCAACTGGAAGTTTCTGGGTAAGAGGCAACAGCAGGAAGTTCCACATGGGATATTCCCTTTGAATTTCAAGAGCACTTGGGGATAGCTTTTTGGCAGGATAAGCACACTCTCCAAGCACACTGCTGACCAAGGGAGAAGCAGCAAAGCTACCAGCTAAGAGGACAATCCTGCTGAGAAGACGACAGGAAGCAGGTGCTTCCTAAGAGTTCAGTGACACTCAAAGTCTACTGAGGACTCAAGCGCACAGGACATTAGGCCAAGAGCTGCAAGGACTATAGGCCAACAGCTTTTTAGAAGCTTCAGTGATATGAAGGGGCCTGGGACCAAGATGAGGAACAGGCTAGGTCCCTTTGAGGGGTCCCCCCACAGAACTGGAGGCTCAGGGAGGGAGGAAGGACAGCTGGTGGAAGAAGGCATTTAAGGGCACTGCCATTTGAGACAATTTAAAGGATAAGGAGCATCTGCTGGGCAGAGGAAAGGGAAAGATACCAAAGAAAGGTGTCAATGGTATGAGAGGTAGATGTGGGAAAACAGCAGGTATGTCCAAGAAGTGTGTAGTTCAGCAGGGATGCAGTGCAGGGTAGGAGTCGGTGGACAGCAGGAGAAGACAAGCTAGAAAAAGTCTTGTAAGGTTCTGGGAAACTTAGTGAAGAGGTAGCACCCTGCTCAGGGCTGCATCCTCTGAGAGCTCATCTGGAAGCAGGTTAGCAGAGAGAGCCTAGAGGCTGGACCCCACTACTGTCAGGTGGCCTCTCCCTAAACCCACCTCCACTAAAACTGCTCATGCTGAGGGAGCCAGTGACCTTTTAACCTAATCCACCTGCCTATCTTTAGTCCAGTCTACTGTTTGATTTCTTTGGAGTATGAGATGATGCTGGCCATTTCCTCTTTAAAAGTAACTTGAGTTCCTCAAGTTAAACAAAGAATTACCACATGACTCTGCAATTCCACTCCCAGGTGTATATCCAGAAGAATTAAAAACAGGTACTCAAACAAGTACATGTACATGCAGGTTCATGGCAGCACTATTCACAATAGCCAAAAGGTGGAAACAACCATCAACTAATGAACAGATAAACAAATGACGGTACATCCATACAATGGAATATTATTCAGCAATAAAAAGGAACAAAGTACTGATATAATGTAAATGAACCTGGAAAGCATTATGTTAAATTAAAGAAACTAGACACAAAACATCTTATTATATGAAGTATCCAAAACAGAAACAATCATCCCTTGGTATCCATGGGAGTTTGGTTCCAGAACACCCCTCTCCCCTATTACACGTACCAAAATCCGAGGATGCTCAAGTCCCTTATATAAAATGGCATGGTATTTGCATGTAACCTACACACACCCTCCCACATACTTTAAATCATCTCTAGATTACTTATAGTACCTACTACAATGTAAATACTGTGTAAATCGTTGTAAATATACTGTAAATGGTACATAAATAGTTGCTGGTGTGCAAGCAAATTTAAGCTTTGCTTTTTGGAATTTTCTGGAATTTTAAAAAATATTTTGAACCTGCAGATAGAGGGCCAACTGTCAATCCAAAGAGACAGAACAACGATTAGTGGTTTCCAGGGGCAGGGAGAAATGAAAGAGAAACTGTTTAATGGGCAAAAGGTTCCTCTGGAGGGGTGAAAATGTTTTGAAACTAGATAAAGGTGATGGCCGCACACTGTGTGTGAACATAATAAATGTCACTGAGTTGTTCAAGTCAAAATGGTTAATTTCACATTATGTGAATTTCACCTCAATAATTTTTTTTTAAAGTTTCTCAACACTTCCTCCCCCCGTATTTCAGTTCGCCTTTTAGGTCTGGTTCTCCTCCTTCCACTTTACTCGTTCTTCTTAGCACCTTCAGGGGAAGACCCTTACCTCCCTGGCTTCAGGCTCTGCCTTCTCACTCCCTCCCATGAATCCTCCTTACCCTCTTCCTCGCCTCCAAGTACTGGTACATCCCTTCACCTGGATTAACTACTGGGCTGCCAATGAGATCAGGCTCAAATATTGAGTGTAGTGCCCTCTCCAGCTCTCTGCTTCCAAAGCTCAGACCCATTACAGAGACACCATAATATGCCGATCTGTGTGTGAGTCTGCCTCCACCCAGGGCTGTCAGCCCTAGATCTCTAAGCCCTGGCTCCATGCCTGGCACGGAGCAAGAGCTCTGTAAACATTTGCTACAAGAATGAATGATGCCAAGGACTGAACAAAGACAACAATCACCAGAAAGGAAAGAAGTAGTAAAGGGTAAAGGCTCTGGATCTGGTAAGTGACTGCAGATGGGTACTGGACAGAGGAAGGAATTAAAAATGATTTGAAAAATAAGTGTGGATCATTGAGAGAAACCTTGATACTATAGCCCATAAAAGAGAAGTACAAAGAGGGAAAAAGCAGCTCTGAGGACATCATTTTCTGCAGGTAAGGCTGTCGTCTAGCTGGAGAGAAAGCTCCTTAAAGGCTGGGACAGTCTTTACTATAATCTCATTTGATTCCCCTGGAGCCTAGCACGGTGCATGGCACAGAGCAGGAACTGACCAATTAACTGCTTTCTATCAATGAGTCTCAGGATAGATCCAGCCACTTCAGCTCGCAGAGATGCTCTGAACCAGGGGTAAAGATGGAACCCAATGTGAGGCCGCACAGGATTCAGGGATCCCAGAACAAGAAAACAGCACATGAAGCTAAGGGAAAGGTAATAAAGACAGGACCTGAGCCGCAGGGCCCTAGCTACACGTCATGTGGCTACAGATAGGCTGAGGCCACGACATTAAGTTAGAAAGGGGATGGCAAATAATTAGTAATTCATGGTCCAGCTTTGGCCAGTGGGGAGCAGTTGCAAAGCAGTGCCACATTTAGAGTGAGGAAGGTTGGGGGTGTGGGGGTGATGACAGAGGGCCTCGTGAGGGAAGTCTGGATCTTATGCAAAGTTCTGTCCATTACAGGTAGATATTTGTTATATTCTCCGACGCACAGGCTCATATAACTATGAGAAAGCCACACTTACCTGTATAAAGGCGGTAACATTTTCCTGAGCGGCTGCGGCCACCACGTCCTGCTCGCTGGTTGGCTGATGCCTGGGACACTGGGACCACCACCAAGCACTCAATAGCTGTCCTAGGGTTGTAGGCTCGGAGTTTCACGAAACCACAGTCAATCACATACACAATCCCGCTGATTGTGATGGAGGTTTCTGCCACGTTGGTGGCCACTATCACCTAGGTTCCCCACAGAAAGGAGAGCAAGGATAACAGTTATTTGGTTCTCTTCACTTTGAGTAAACGAATCAAAATCCTAAGAGACTTAAAGATATTTTCGGCAGTGTAGCATCTGTGAGAGGCAGTTTGGTATGCTGGATAGAACATGATGAGTTTAGGGTCAGAGCACCCGGGGTTTGACTTCTCCCTAAGCATGGGGCCTTGGACAAGTTACTTAACCTCCTGAGCATGACTGCTCATCTACACAATGTTTACCCTCTCCTGGGTTCTTGAGAAGATTAAATGTGAAATATGCCTGAAGTGATTAGATCTTGGTACTTGGCCCAGAATAAAGATTCAACAAATGTCAGTTTTTACCTTTTGCACAATTCAGTAAATCACCACCTTGGACGTGTCTAGTCATTTATTTGCTCCCATTCTAACTGTTTTCTGAGGGTCTGCACTTTGCCAGGGCCTCTTCAAGGTGCCAGGAATGTATGATGAACAAGACAAGCTCCCTGCTCTCCCAGAGTCTACATTCCAGTGTGAGTGTCTGGGTGGGGAAGTACCGAACATAAACCAGAGTGACAAATACTAGGAAGGAAATGCAACAGGGAAATATTTAAACGTTATGGAGTGCTCAGTGCATACATTATTTGCAATATTATAATAGTGGAGCCTGCTACTTCAGATTAGACGGCCAGGGAGAGCCTCTCTAAAAGACGATTTCAGGCTGAGACCTGAGCAACAAGCGGCAGCCAATCCTTCAGAGATCCAGGCGAGGAAGGAGAAACCGCCAACGTGGCCAGAGACCAGGGTAAAAACCAAGATGAGATTAAGAGGGAGGCAGGGACCAGATCATGCACGGTCTCTGGGCCACGTTTAAGGGGTTTGCATTTTGTTCCACAGGCACCAGGCGCTGCCCCTGGAGGGTGTGAAGCAGCAGGAGACATAAATGGCACTCAGAACATTTTCCGAGAACTTTCACATCAATCATTTCATAAAAATCTTCCTACCATTTTTACGTAGAGGAGAGTCAGGATTTTATGCTATAAAACCAGCTATCTACAAGTTATCTTATTCATGTTTTACAGCTGAGAAAACCGAGCCTCAGGGTCGAGTAACTCATCCCGGGGCTTCCGGTGAGTCGGGGTACAGAATCCAGGCCTCTTGACCATTGGCTGCAGCTCATGTTTGACGGGACAGACTTTTGAGTTGCTGCAGCCCAATGGCCAGGAGGCCGTCCCTCACTTGCTGTGTTCTCTGCCACCTGCAAAACAAACAGCCACTCTGAGCCAACTTCGGGTCACAGGAGGGAAAGCAGAGCAAGGCCCAAGGAGACCCTGAACAGGAAGCAGACTCGCTGCCAACTGGCTCCTTCAAACCGATGCTTCTCCCCATGCCTTTCCCCACTCCAGTTTCAAGGTTAAATATTTTTAAGCCACACCTTGAAGTAATTGACTTAAACCCAGCTCTCTAAGCAAACTGATGCTTAAAACAAATGGTTTAGCAACCATTTTGTAGTAACTAATCTAAAGCTCCTGACGAATTATGATTACCCATCAAGACAGTCCTTTAAGCCAAGGTCATGCTGTGTGATGGAGAAACATGAGGCATGAAGAAAGGAAGCAGAGAGAAGTTATCTACTCTGACAATTACCGAACCTTCTGTGGGGCAGGTTTAGAAATCTTTGCAACTCATTATTTATGGCATGCTTCTAGATCTGCTGCACAGAAACATGGGCCTAAAATTCTCAAAGAAACCTTCCTATTTAGCAAGTTTTACTTTGATTTAAAATACATCTTTCCAGCAGATGTCAAAGGGACACCAACATGATTACAGACGGCTGCAAACACCCTCAGCCCTCAGGGTTAGTCTCACCTTTCTGACACTGCGTGACACCCTTTCAAACACCTTCATCTGCTCAAAGGAAGGCAGACCTGCATACATGGGGAGAACCCGGAGGTGTCTCTTCATCCCAGTCCGACCCAGTGCTCGAGCCTGCTCGATCAGCATAGACACGACGGTTTCCACCTCTTCCTAAAAACATTGACCCAGGAACCAAAGAAACCAAGACCAAATTGAAGCATGTCATTTTACCATACAGCAAGAAGATGAAAGCTGGGATCAGGGTTTTAAATGTGGTCAGACTCACGGCTTTCAGAGCCACCACGTTCCACATAAGGGTGGTATTTAATCAAATGCTACCAAACAACGGTGTCAATGGGGTGAAAATTCACAACAGTCAGATTAATTATTGAAATCTATACTATCTGCAGTCAATAGAAGAATCCCCAATAAAACAATGACTATTTTACTGAGCTTTTTTAACGCACTGTGTCAAACAGCGTGTCGTACATATGGACAAGCTGTGGCATATTAAAATCGCTGTAAGTTTTCCCTAGAAAAGATTACTGAACAATGGAAAATGTTTGACAGTGGAAATGATTACAGCTAGAGGGTAATGCTGAACAGAGCTACAACCTTGAGTCAGCCTTTGGGCTGTGTTTTCCCAGTGATGTGCCTACTTGTCCCCCCAGGACGAGCTGTAAAGGTGTCACCGGGAGAAGGGTATGCAGCAGCAACACGGATGCACAAAATGTACCTGATGCAATGTTCAACTCTGGCATCAAAATGGCCCATTGACCCAACTTCCTAATTTACTTTGGAATTAGCTAATAAATTTAAAATACATTTAACCCTCTGCAGACAGAATGGGCAGGAGCTAATGACTCTCTGGCAATTGAGTCACTAGAAGAATGACATCAAACTAAACAACTTTTTATGCAATTAAGTAATCACAAAGTACAATAAAACATGAAATCAATGGCTAATAAAGTAACAGGCCTCTACAAATTTTGGTGCTGTCTTAACATGTCTGTTCATCAGAGAAAAGGCCCAATGGAATTACCTGGCCAGTAAGAAATGCTAGTATGTCTCCATCTCCCTCTGTCTGGTGAATTTTCATCACAGTTTCTACAGTTGATTTGATATAATCTGGAACAGGACTGAAAAGATGTATGAGATAAATTCATCGCTAGAACGTGCTCTTTAATTATAAGTCAATTACCCTAACAATCTGGCAGCGAAGCCTTGTGAAAGGTAGTTTGGGCCTGCCCAGCAGATAATCAGTATAGGAACAATCAAAACAAATATTCATTCTTTTTTTTCTTTTTTTAAATGCAGCATTCAAAAACAATCCATAATTACACATAAACTATGATTTTTGGCTTCATTGGCTGAGACATAAAAGCAATAAACCCGTGCAAATAGATGTGTTATCTTTTTTGGGGCGGGGTAGTTAGGTTTATTTATTCATCTATTTATTATTTTTAACGGAGGGACCAGGGATTGAACCCAGGACCTTTGCACTCTACCACTGAGCTATACCCTCCCCACCAGATGTGTTATCTTTAGCATGCAAAGATGCCTGGCCCATGAAACAGGGGGCTATGGTCCCAGTGCTGATCCCACGCTCTTCCCAGTCCCCCTCCTGACCGCTGGCAGCATGTCTGAGATGGGCAGGTAGAGCTGATGGGGGTCCCGTCCTGCCAGAACGACTCAGAAGTCAAGCCCACAACTCTCTGGATTTATCCACCACTGGCCCAAGCTCCTGGTCTTTGTCCAATGACTGGGCACAGGAACTAGGATGACCCCCCGGCCCCTGTCTGGGGAGGCTCCTCCCAGAAATGAAAACCAGGTCTTGCCAAGATGTAGAACTGAGAACCAAATGATTCAAATCACCAACGCTGCCCCAGCTGACAGTCTGGAAAGTCCAGTTCTGAAAACTACAGAGCCCTCTTCCCTGTGACCTTGTTAGCATTTTGCTCTTTCCAGCTGAGCTGCTGACCACAGATTCATAGAAACCTGCACTGTCAGTATGGGGAGTTTAAATTCAGCAGTGATACTGAGCAGAGTTCCAGAACATCCTACCAAGGACAGGAAGGACAAAACATGTCCCTCCTCACCAGCCTGGCACATCGCCCTTGGAGCCGTGAGCAGGTGCAGTTGCTTCTCGTTCCACAGAACAGGCCTCCTTGTCTAACTGCCCTTGTTAAAGATCCCAGCGTCATCAAACCTTTGCAGATAAAAGATGTCCACTGGAAATGTTCGCCCTTCCACCGTAAGGATCACACACGTATCCCTGGTTGGGTCACTGGTGTCATTCTGATTAAAGAAATCCCGAAATTTCTAAAAGAAAAAAAAAAGAATCAATTCTTCACTCCTCTCAAAAACAACAGCAAAAAAGGTCCACAGTAATTCATGGAAAGAAAGAAAATGATACAAAACTGGATGAGCAGAGGATAGGGAGTAGGGCCTGGATACCTATAATACAGACTAGGAGCTACAAATAATCATTAAAAATCGTATTTTTATTACTGTGATTGTGGAGAATCACATTTCAGTGATGGCCTCTTTACGGAAGATTTAATGGAAATAATAAAGGTTAGACTTTCAAACTGCATTTAGCAGTGTATCTGAGTCAACATGAAGCTGTGGTATACTTACTCTATCCCACACCCCTCCTGTATTTTATTCAACTGAAAATTAGGTCAAAAGGCGTGATTCAAGTTAAAATACACGTTAAATCAAGTTGGTGCGTAGTTCTGATCTGGAAAGCACAGCTCTGATCACACAAGTTATCAGTTTATAAAGGAAACTTGTACGTCTATGAGCAGTAAGTACACTCCTGGTACCACAGCTGCAGAACTATATTGACTCAAACTCTCCCCGTAGATTTCAGGTCATTTGATGGCAGGGATGGGGTCCTCTCCATCTGTACATGCCCTACAGGAGGTAGCACAACACTTTGTATGGGGAGGATCGCCAATTATTCACTTCTCTGACACTCCTACTCACAGGGCCCTGGCTCTTGGCAACTATCTTGAATGGGTGGCCGTGTCCTTGTCTGTGGACTTGACCACCAGGCCTGCAGTCTACAGGGAGGCCTGGCATGAGAGCTCTGGCCAACAATGGGGGAGAGAGGCTCCACCGAAGATCTCTGCTTTGGGGAATGTGACCCCAAGACAGAGAAGCTGAGACCGAGAAGAACTGAGTGCCCATTCTGGTGGGAGAGTGTGTGCTGGAAGGGCGCTGATGCCCAGCTGCGTGGGCCCACACAACCTGGTAGGCGGAGGGCGCCATTATCTGACTCAGTGACCTTCCCGTTCCCGAGACCTGGCTCAGCATTACTTCCTCTTCTCCTAGGAGGCCTGGTTATGTGATCACGTGGCTGTCTTCTTTACTCCCCCAGGTACCTTCCCTAAACATGCCCACAACTGCTCCTGGAAACCAGGAGCCGAGGGGTGTACTGAGGAACTGCATCAAATACAAAGTGAAAGGCTAGGAGGAGTACTTCTAAAAGAGTGGACTGGGTGGAACTACAGAATACTTAAATGCTTGCTACATGTTAACCTCAAAGCTGTGTTTGAGAAGAGGAAGCAGAGACACAGAAGTGCCGCAGGCCAACAAAAGAACCGCGCTGTGCTGGGAAGAGCAAGCACCACACGGCACCTCTCCACTCCTACTTTCGGGTAAATTCCCTTCAACTGACTTCAGCCTTCCTGTGTCTTACGGGGTGCACAGCACCGCACACTAAAAGCACTGCACAGACAGGGGAGAAGAGACTCCACCCCACCCCCCAAAAGTGTGAATAATCCAGGGAGGAAGACGTGCAAAGAACCAGTCACAACATAAACTGAGGCCCAATGACTGGACGACCAGAAAAGAGCTGTGAGTTACAATCAGAGAGAAGGAAAGGCCAGTGCTGACTGGCTGTCGGGAGGGCTTCCTGGAGGCGACAGTCTCCACTGGCTAGGCCTTAAAGACTGAGGAGGATGATCACTGGCTGGGAAGGAGAAGAGGCAGCCCTTCCTAGGATGACAGCAGAGTGGAGACGGAGGTGTAAAAAAGCCCCTGACAGCGGCCGGAGCCCAAGGTCTGAGGAGGCCTGCCTCACCTCGGAGCTGGCCCTCTCACTGACAAAGTGACAAACTGCTCTCTACACCCTGCAAGGCTGTTGTTCCTCAAAAGTGTGGGCGACTGCGCTTGGCACAGGTCTGGCCTCAATGGCACTCAGCAGGCAGTCACAGTGGTCCCGCTGAAGTGGCCCAAACGTCAAGGATTGGACCCCCAGCAGCCATGCCCACCCTCAGCCTGTGCAGAGTGGCCCCAAGTGGGTACCTGACCCCAACAGACCCCAAATTCCTTCTCTAGAAATCTGGAAAGAGAAATTATTCTTTCTTCAAGTAGCTGGACCTGTGACAAAAAACTATGGGCGGTGTCAGCCATCATATTTTCTACCATGTGAATGGAAGCCAATAAAAGAAAAATAATACCATGTGGTGCGATGGTCGATGGTTGACAAATACTTCGAACTTACACCCGGTCACGTTCTATACCTGCTGGCTTAACTGGGCTGACGCTAACAAAGCAGCTCACCCACTCAAGGCAACTATTTGATCGGCCCCCATCAAACTCTGCCTCTACCTCCCAGCCACAGACACTGGTGTCCTCACCTGCAGGCTGGGCCACCTCGCGCTCAGAGTGAAACCAGAGCAGGTGGCATCTATCCCTCCAGGCAGCGGAGCTTGGAATGAGTCTGTCACCCACAGATCCAGCAGCTGGAGGACCGGGGATGAGTTCTGGCCACCCTGGGCCTCTGGGTCAAAATGCTACCTGAGCCACACCCTGCCCCACTCCCACACACACGCTCCCTCTCTCACCCACGGCAGTCCTTCCTCCCTCGTCCTCGCTCTCTTACTCTCATGTGGGAACTCACATATCACGTCCCACTGGCACCCACACCCACCCAGGTCCCCCCCCACACACACTGAGACCTCCCCTCCCCCACAGAGGCAGTGCTGTGTGAGGAAGGATGAGGACATGAGTGGCCTGAGCCCACCCCAGGCCCCGCTGAATGCTGCTGACATCTCAGCAGCCCTTGCGTCCTAGCACACCCAAGGGATGACACGTCAACTCCGTCCCACTTTCCCACTTGAAAAATCACTTCCAGGAAGTCCACCTCTGTCTCCCTTCTGTCTGTAGGCAGAACGGAAAGAAGCTGTTTTTAGATCTCTGTGCCACACCAGAGACAATGAAAGGCAGCTGTAAGCAACAACCAAGTATTAACAGTGACTCTAAGAAAAGATTTGAACATTATAGTTTTCAAACACTATAAAAACTATCGGGAACAATTTTTAAAAGGGGGGGTAGTGATGAAGATGAGACATAAAATGGAGATGTTCTGGGCAACTTGGCCATGGAGAAGGCAACAAGAGATGAGGCCAGGCTCAGTCCTCAGAACAGCCCCCCTGCAGGGCTCCTGGGGAAGAGGCATGGGAATTCATTCAAGGGCGCAACAGAGAGCTTTAACGCAAAACTTATTACGGGCAGACCTAAGACAACAGACTTCTGCAGCCCGTGAGAAGGTCTGAGAAACAAGCCAGGGGACACGTGCAGACACCTCTCTTAGCCATGCTGAGTTTTTTCTCCCTCCAAGCTGCTGTACATCCCAGAAGCCACAGGGAGACCAGGAGCCAGGCCCTTTCAATATCTCAGCTGCATGACAGAACTGGCCTTCTGACTGGTCTTTCCACATCTGTTCTTGGTCTCTTCCACACAGCACCCAGAGTGATCTTCCTAGAACTCAAATATGATCAAGTCACTGCCACACCTCACACCCTGCTGGAGCTCCTGCCCAGGTGCGGGGTGGAGGCCTTCCTCCTTTGTGTGGCCTGTAAGGCCTTCTGTAATCTGACCACTACCAGCCTCTCCATTTTAATCTCCCATTGTTCTCATTCCATCAAAGTTCATTCAAACCAAAGCACCCTCTCTGTGCCAGACACTGTTTTAGATGAAAGGGATAAAATAATGAGTAATACCAACAGCGACCCAATCTTCATGGTGCTCACACTGTAGTGATGGGAGACACACAACAAATGAACACTCGGATATGCATGTAATGCTAGCTAGTGGTAAGTGCTGAACAGAAAACGCACGGAGAGCAAGAATGGAGAGCGACAGTGGCACTGTTTAGGACAGCAGTCAGGAGAGGCTGCTCTGAGAGCTACTGTCTGATCAAGACTGGAATGAAATGAGTGCAGAGCATCTGGGGGAAGAACGGTCTAGAAAGAGGGTCCCCATCCACCCCTCCCAAGAGCAGAAGCATGCTTAGCTTTTTCTGAGGAACAGCAAGCCGAGGCTGCAGGATAAGGAGATAAAGTCAGAGAGGTGACTGGGGGCAGGTCACCCCCCATAGGGCCCTGTATGCGAGGGAAGACGCCCACCTTCCACCCGACTCACAGCCCTTTGAACACACAGTTTCATGCCCCCGTGCTTCTGTGCAAGCTCAGGATGCCCTTCCCGACTCCTGCCCATCTGGTGAACTTTCGTGCATCTTTCAAACCTGGGTAGGATGTCCCTCCTCTGTGAAAGCTTCCAGACATGCCTCAGCTGGCTAGAGTGAAGCACCCCCTCCCTCCTTGGCTGTCTCAGCACCTTGAACATACTCAACCATAAACATTTATTTACGTGTCTGCTTCCCTGTGAAGTTAGGGAATGTGTTTCTGTGCTTGGTGTGTGTGTGTGGGTGGATATATATAACAAGCGGTCAATAGTGTTGAGTTGAACTGCCGTTTGAACTAAACTAATAGTTGTTAAGAGAAAAACGTAATATAAACTTAGCCATAAAAAAATTATAGCCTGGAAATGATTGTATGTACAGGGAAAACTTCAGCTATACCCCAAAAATCTAACTATAAACGCTATAGTCATAAATTCAAGAAATATAGCCTCATTATAAAAAGAGTAATAAAAAGCAGCCGCCTATGTGGGGAGAAACACAGTATGTAGAGAAACAAGACAAGTAGGTAATAATGAATGCAATTAATTACAGGCTCATTTCCACCCACAAGCTGAAAAGGAGTATCCTCTGATCACACAGAATCCAGGACATCAGATGGCCCCATAAGGAAGGTAGGCCATCGTGCCAAAGACAAGCTCTCGCTAGAGGTAACTCCCCAAGGCCACATCCAACAATTCCAGTGCTTACGGTGGACAGGAGGAGAAGGGGAAATGCTCATACCTCTGCATCCAACGTGGCTGAAGCCACAATCAATCGAAGATCCCCTCGCTTCTTCTGAATCTAAAAAAGAAGGCATTAGGAAACAATGATAACAGTGCAGCACTTACAGAGGAAATTATTTGATATCTGAAATTTATTACAAAATAATTCAGTGTATTTTTTTGTGTGGTGGGAAGGGAGCTTACAGATGAAATCAGACTGACCACAAGTTGATAACTGCTAAGTCACTGGTGAAAAGGTAGTTTATTATACTATTCTAATTGTGTGAGTGATCAAAATTTCTAAACTAAAAAGCTAAAAAAAAACCACAAAAAATGTATAGAGAGTATAAAGAAGCTTTAAGACCTCAATTTGAATTTGCCAAAAGTAAAACCATGTTTTCCTGACATTTAGGTCTCTGGAGAGTTGGAATCTCGGTTAAAGTATGAAAAAATACATGAAAAGCAAACAAACAATAAATGATAATGCCAAGACAGAAATACGGACAAAACATATTAACAGTTATTCAAAGAAACAGATGATCAACAGGCATAGGAAAATGATCAAATAAACTACAGCAAAAATATGTAACAATAATGAGATTTTTTTTTTAGATTATTTTTTTCATCCATCACATTGGAAGGATTTATTTTCAGTGTTGGCAAAGATTCAGTCAAACAGGGCCCCTTATTATATTGTTTCTGAGAAGGTAGTAACCTCATGGGACAATTCCTCATAAGTATCAAAAAGTCTAACTCTTTGGCCATAAACTTGGCCACTATTTTGGAATAAAATAGTAATGAAAATAACAATAATGATAGCAGCTAACATATACTAAGTTATATGCTATTTCAGGGTCTCTGCATACAGTTGTGTAGTATGTGCACTGCACAAAGATGCCTGACTGAGGTGGCTATGGGCCTTTGAAATCCAACCCACCCTCCCCTCACCCAGCTGTGCACATCTTCCCAATGGGGGCATCTTTTTCTAATTTGCACAAAGGTACCTAGTCTATTTGTGGCCCTGTGCCAGGCGCCATTCTAAAAATTTTACATTATCTTATTTAAGCCTCACAACAAATTATGATATAGGGCAGCAGCTCTGTCTAAGAGAATTCTCTTCAGTGATGGAGGGGTTCTGTCCAATGCAGTAGCCATTAGCCACATGTGGCTATGGAGCCCTTGAAATATAGCCAGTGTGACTAAAGAACTGAATTTTGTATTTTATTCTATTTTAACTAATTTAAATCTAAGGATGAAACAAAACCGGCCATGGGTTGTAATTGCCAAAGACGCACGGGCAATGGGGGTCATTAAAGCCTGCTCTCTACTTTGGGGAATGCTTGTAATCTTCTATAATAAAAAGTCAAAAAAACAGGTAAGAAAAGAAACGGAAAAGCAACAGATTTAATTACAAGGGCTCTCCATGCAACATTATTTAAAATACTTCAAATCTGGAAGTTGTACAAATACCTAACAGTAATGGAAAAGTCCATTACTGTATAATCATGATTATACAGCCATTAAAAATAATGTCTTCAAAGAATATTTGATGACACAGGAAAATGATCTTGATGTAATGTTAAGAGAAATACGCAAGATACAACTTAGCACATATAGTCCAATCCCCATGGTGCCAAAACAGATGCATGTACACACAACAAACAGACACACAAACAGAAAAGAAGGGAAGGAAACATACCAACATTCCACCAGTGATTTTCTCTGAATGAGTAAAATTATGAGTGATTTTAATTTTTTAATTTTGTTGGATTTTCTAAATTGCTACAATGACTTTCCTAATCAGACAAACAAAACAGAAATACACAAAAGAAGTCTGGCAACAAAGCTATACCTTTTTCAGCAAACCAATGGCAATGTCGGTGTACAAGGTCCTCTCGTGGGCTTCGTCCAGCATGATGGCACTACAGTCAGAAGGAAGATCTCAGTGAGCATCAAACCATCCACCGTACAAGCCCATCCAGACCATCAAAGGGACTGCTGGGTATTCAGCCCCAGCGCGATCACCTTGTATCAACAGTAAAGCTAAGTTAACTTCCCTCTGACAAAGAGGTAACTCTTAAGTTAACAGAAATGGTGACAGCAACATATCTTGGTGAAGAAAATGGTGTATGTATTGCTATTTTTAAAGAGTTTTCCCACTCACACTGGATTCTAATAGTATATAATACATGATTTTAAATTATAATATAACACATAACCCCACAGAGCACATAAAATCAGAACAAGGCCCAACTGCCGGAATATTGTTAAGCTGCAGAAAACAGCACAAAGAGGCACGTGATTGCAGCTGTGTCGCATGTGAAACAGGAGTCAAATGTGACATCCTTTCCCAGGATATCACAGCGCCTGAGTGGGACAACTGTTAACACCATGAGGGGTGGACAAAGACAGTCAAGAAGAGGAAACGGTAAATAATTATTTGGGCTCTGTGTTTTACATTCAACAAAACACTGCCCAGTTCTGTGCTGTGACTCTGGTAACCATCCATCCTGGAGCATAACAGACGCGAGGTAAAAACAAGACAATGGACTGTACAAACAGTGACGGAGATTTGCATGTGCCCAGTTTTGACTGCCTGTAAATTGTGAAAAAAAAAAACATCAAAGGTCACAACAGCCAGAGTCAGGAGAAAAGCTCTGGGAAAGCCAAGCGTGGTTGCGAATCCCAGATATCAACACACCTACTTTTCAACCGATTTGTGCACTTTTGAAACTTTAGAAAAATTATCACAGGAAAAACACATTTACCTATATTTTGTTAACAATGGATCAACCATCATCTCCCTGACCAGCATTCCATCAGTCAGAAACTAAAACACAAAAACACAAAGTTTTAGAAATAATTCATTTACACTGTGTATGAATGATTTTTCTCTTCAAAAAGTTCAAGTGCAACTAAACAAATACAATCTCATCACTAGTGTGTGGGCAAGACAATTCCCACAAAGGACTGTGAAAAAATGCCCCAACACTTTGGTTATCAGCCAATGGAATTGTTCGCAAACAAGATTTCGAACATGGGACCCTCGGCTAGGGCTTGCAAATCTGTTAGCAAAATTTGACCTGCATTTGCTCTGTGAGCATAGACTAAGCCCCATTTCCTCTGAGCTGTACCACTGGTATTGCTGACGAACAGGCAGTGAAGACAAACCTGTCTGCCCAGGGCTATGCTATGAGTCTGAGATCACTGTTCCTAAAAGGTCCCAAAGGTTGCAGACTTGCAGCTCTTGAGGTTACTAACTTCAGTTTCCACTGATGTTATTTCAGGGAGGCTGGATAGGGTTGTGGTTAAGAACACAAGCCGTTGTGTCTGGCTGCTGCGAGTTCAGATCTCAGCTCTACATCTTACTAGCTGTGTGAACCCTGGGCAAGTTACTTCCCTCTCTGAGCCAGATTCCTCACTTGTAAAATGGAGATGATAAAAGCATCGACCTCCCGGGGTTACTGTGAGAATTAAGTGAGACAGGACATGTAAAGTGTTTCGCACAGGCCCCAGCACACAGAGAGGGCTCAAGAATGTCAGCTATTAGCATTAAGGAATAATGAATGTTTATAAAATGCCTTTCAAAAATGCAGTAACAACTAAATGCTGTTACTCTCATCCAAAAACAATTCAGTACTTTAATAAAGCTAAACATTTTCTTCACGTGCTGTATGTTAGTATTTTTACTCTGTTTCCTTTTTTAAAGCAGGATGCATTTCCATCGTATTTTTCTTGGCCCTGACACAAGCTGCCACATATACACGTAGGAGTGAAAGTGAGAACTTGCCACCAACGACAGACCACCGGGCAGGAACACCAGCCAAGAACCGAGGGCCTTGAAATTACCACCCAATGGAATACAACGCTTTTCACGACTCTCTAGAATCATTTGGTTGTGTAATTCACTGAAAATTATCTAAAAATTAGCTAGAGTAAATACATTTGACGGTATAGAATAATCCCTTTACTTAGCAAAATGAATGTCTAAGTTAACAAAATACAGAAATTCAGAAAACAAGGTCCACATGTTTATAAATCAGTATGTTGTTCATTTAGCTCATTTAGTTATTTTCAGCTTTCCTCTGCTGCAAACTGACAGGTCACTGAGATTCTATTGACCAGTGTTCATTTCAGAGCATTTTCATTCATTGTTTACAATACCATCTGAGGAGACCTTGATTCCATCGCAGTGGTAACAGTGGACACTGCTGAGTTGACTGTACACTGATTACTACTGATGCTAATTATTTAAGTAGTAGCGATGAAGCCAAAGAACACACACATAAAACCCATTATCATGTGAAAATGGGAAAGTTCTAATCAGTGAAAATAACACTTGGGAATTCTACACCTTACCAATTTATACTATTTGTCCCTGTTTTTAAGTCTTTTACAGGTAAGCGCCTATATTTAGACAGCTGTGTGGACTGGTGGAAACACAATAAAACACACAGGAGAAAGGATTGCTTTGAGTCCTGGTTCTATATCGCCAATGGGCATATAGCCTCAGGCAGGTCATTCACTCTCCCAAGTCTTCAACCTCTTCATTTGTAGAACCAAGGGCTCAACCCTACTTCCTCTCTGGGCTAAGATGCGAGGACTCCGAAGGAGCTCTGTACTTCCCAGCAGACTAAATTCCCTGAACACCAGGATTTCATACACTTTCTGCCACCATATCAGTGCCTCAGCAGCGACGGCTGCAGGTTTTCAACTCCCCCCTAATAATCTTCCTTATTTACAACAGGAAAAGCAGTTCAGCAATTCACCTTAATTCTCGTAGCCAGCGGGTTGGTGCAGTCGTCAAAGCGGATGCAGTAGCCCACCTCATGGCCCAACACCGCACCCCTTTCCTCAGCTACTCTCCCTGCAACCTTTGGGAAGAAAGATCATGCTGAAAATAGAGACATAGAAATTACTGTCCAGAGCATTTACTATGGAAAATCTAAAGGTCATATTTTTTAAATAGCATGTGAACACAGTGGAAAATGAGAAGAAAAGGGGTAGGTTATTAGAGAAATAGTGTGATAACCTTTGCAATCTATTAACTTTATATATCTCACCCCCTTGGATAATTGACTTGAGGCAACTTATAAGAACAATAAATATGGAATAAAAATGGAATCACGTAAAAATGTTACAGATCAGGATTAAAGAAATTATAGATGAAATTCAAAAGACCAAAGCCAATAAGAAAATTTTAAAAATGTAAATATGCCAAAGTTATTTAAGTTGAGCCACCAATTCAGCTTTAGATTTCCTGGTGGCCAAAGAAAAAGGGAAGCAGAAGAAATTACAAGATTCACCCTGTTCCTAAAGCTTTCTTTAGCATACCAGCTGGGACAGATTTTCGTGTCTTCATGCCTTGAAATAAAACACCTTCCACTGGACCATGAAGGCAAGGGAACAAGAATGATCAAATTCAATACTAGGCCATGCATGTTCATTTTCTCTTTGGAGGCAAAAGAATAACATTTCCAGAGCAAGATAATCTAAAACAATTTACGACAGTGTCCCAGTTACCAAAACTATTGAAAAGGGAAATAAAGACAAGAATGCAGGTTAAAAAAGTGTATAAGGTAGATGAGAAGATTAACAAAGGATCCAAGTTAACAATAATAAAGTTAAAGTAGAAAACAAAATACATATTATGAAGACCACAGACTACAGATACACTTTTTACCTACCAATATTAGACAAATAAAATGTGAGGGTAGGAAAGAGAAAAAAGAATCCAATGGCAAGATCTCCCACTACTTCAGAGAGCCATTCAAAGTCTATTAACTCATTAATAGAAAATGTCTGAAATAATGAACAAATATAGAGGTGGAAGAGCAATACTGCTTATAATTTAGTTCACCTTGAAAGAAGATTAAGAATTTAACGTTCATGATGTAAACTACTTAACTGAAAAGAAGCAAAGGGAAGCAAAATTACAGGCGTTTCCTGGGGGCCTGGCACACCAACCAACCCTCATGCTTCCCATCTCCTCCTTTCACAGGTGAGGTGACCTCCCCACAGAGTCCCTCATCCTGAGTTTGGAACGTGAGCTGACACAGGTGTCCGGAGGCAGAGCTTCCAGCTACAGCCATTGGGACTGCAGCAGCCCTAGGCCCAAAAGCCCAGAGGCTCTCCACACTCAGCTAGTGAGCCTAGTACGTCTGCCATGTTATCTGATCATCAGTGTTTAAGAAATTGAAGAGCAGACGAGGACCAGAAGTGGCTCTGCCCAAAAACCTGAAATTACAGATCTGGTTAGCCAAGACAGACTCAGCCATTGAGCAGCTGGCGTACACCACAGAGTCTTTCAAAACACCTTGTGAAACTGGTAATTCACCCTACGCTGCTCTACCTCTGGAGGTTCTATTTCCCCATAACCAGTATTTCACCGGGACAGTTGTTACTGTTATGTTTCAATTTCAACCCTACAGATCATTAAATTAGAAATGTTGAAAAATGGTACAAATAGAGAATATGGGCAAGAGATACTGGAGCTGATGGGGAAAATCATCTTGTAAGAATGAACTTTTTTACAAACCAGAAAGACAGACATAGAAAACAAACTATGGTTATTGAAGGGAAAGGGGCAGGTAAATTAGGAGTTTGGGACTAGCAGATACAAACTACTACATGTGCAACAGATAAACAACAACTATATTCAGTACCTTGTAATAACCTATAGTGAAAAAGAATATGAAAAGGAATATGTATAACTGAGTCACTACGGGGTACACAAGAAATTAACACAACACTGTAAACCGACTATACATCAAAAAAGTTATCTATGTATAACTGAATCACTTTGCGTCACACCTGAAACTAACACATTGTAAATAAATACTTCAATTTAAAAAATAATAATAAATAAATATAACAAAAAAAAAGAATGAGCATAAGTGAATCAACCTCTCCATAAAAACATAATCATTTTATGAAGCCATATTTATTCTTATTATTTCACTATTTGTATACCTTTGCTATAAAATGTATTCTATTTTCAAATTCATTTTTAGAAATTTCATCATGTATGTTCACATCACTGGACATCTGAAAGGCCATATTCTTCTGGTTTTTTAAATAGATTTTTACCTCTGTTGTTTTAATTCTGCTTCCAATAACCTATCAATTATACTGGATAAATATTATCTTTTCAACAGAAACAAACAGAAACAGGAAAAAGGAGATCAAAGGCACCTCCTAAGTACAGGTGGTGTGGTCCAAGCCTTCACAAATTATATCTCACTAAACATGCACAAAGTCTGGGAGGTGGGCGAGAGACCTTCCTTTCTACAAAGAAAAAAAACTGAAATGAAGCAGGCTTAGAGCTTGCCCTGAATCACAGGTCAAGGCCGGGCCCGGTCTTGAAGTCAAGCCCGGACCACATGAGTCCAATGATCATACTCGTTAAGGAACTGCCTCTCACGGAGATCAAGCAACGGCTTGTGCAATCTGTTCTTAGGCTCTGAGACTGTTTTCGGATTTTAGTCTGCACACAAAGTGCTTTTTGAGATGTAGCATTTCAAACTTGACAGCTCTATTAATACTACACGGTTAATTTATACACTTTTGTTCTTTAAGAGAAAACATGTGGTTTCATGGAAATTATCCATGGCTACAAATTTGGAACTAAAATGCAAACTGATTAAGAGCTGGGATTCCAAACCTCAAACAGAAAAAATTGTTCAAATGTTTTAAGCAACTGAAAATCATCTTTCATGACATAAAAGGTTAAGTCTAACACTGTAGTCTAGTTGCCATTCTTTCTATTTTTATACACACACATAAGACTTAGGAAGTGTTTATCAATAGTTTCTAACATGAAGACAATTAGAAAATGACTCTGGGGGAAAAGAGTACACAATAATTAAAACTTGTACAGAGTGAAAATAACTCAAGGAAATAGAATTTCTTGTCCAGGTACAGATGGCAAAATAAAGGCATTCTGGCCCCCACTTCCCTCTCTCAGGGCTAATTTAAAACAACTGAAGAAATAAAACATTATTATCAACCAAAAGCTCCGTCTCCAAGGAAGGATGGAAACAGGCACAAGCTCAAACAATAAACTAGGAAGCAAGGCTGCCAAACACCGTGAGGTCCAGGCCTCCCCACAACCAGAACCGGCTGCTGGCTTCCTTCATGCAAGTGTCACCACCCTAAAAGCCAGGGCTGACAAGCCTTGTATTAGGAAGACAAGAAGCGACACTGTGTTCAGGCCCAGGGGGCGCAGGAAATGCCTCAATGGAGGCCTACTCTGACAGCGAAGAATCACAAAGGAAGGGGAGATGAAGGAGAAGGCAGGCAAATTGGACAGCGAGTATAAATCCCAAGTCAGAGCGCCCAGAGCACCTTACCACAAACTACTGCAGACCTCTCAAATCACTGAGGAGTGCTTGACTCGATCCTCAGCCTCTGACCCCTGAGCAAAGGACAGTGAGAGACTGGGGAGAGGCAGTGCATTATCCAGACCAGCGCAGCCAGCAGATGGGCTCACTCAAAGATGAGTAATTACCATAAAAGTACTAACCCAGCCCATTGCATTAAATGTAACCAAGAAAGAAGGAAAGAAAGGAACAAGAGCAAAAAAGTAGTTTAAAAAGAAATTGTAAAAGTATTACCCAAAGGAACCAGAGTAGAATTCAGCCAAAGAAATTCAGCTGCAAAGAAATCACAGGATGGACCTAGAGATTATCATACTAAGTGAAGTCAGTCAGATAGAGAAAGACAAACATCATAAGATTTCACTTATATGTGGAATCTAAAGAAGCGACACAAATGAACTTATTTACAAAACAGAAACAGACTCACAGACCAAGAAAACAAACTTAGAGTTACCAGAAGAGAAAGGAGGGGGAGGGATAAATTAGGAGTTCTGGATTTGCAGACACATACTACTATATACAAAATAGATAGACCACAAGGACATACTGTATAGCACAGGGGATGATATTCAGTATCTTATAATAACCTATAATGAAAAAGAATAGAGATTATATATATATATGTATAACTGAAACACTATGCTGTACACCAGAAACTAACACAACATTGTAATTTAAGAAAAAAAAAAAGAAAGAAACTCACAAGCTTAAGCTAAAAACAAGTTAAGGAAGAGACACAAAGTCAAAGGAGAGTCAAAGAGAAAGAAGGTCTCAAATGTATAGGTCAGAAACCTCCAAATCTCACAGCCTGGACGTGAAAGAAACTACAGAGAAGCTTTTCCCAAATGTGAGAACAATTTCCCAAATTTATACAATGCGACAAATGCCAGTTACAAAGATAAAGGAACTTCTCCACAGTATCGATAATAAAAAGTAAATCTGAATCAGCCATGCCAGAGAAACACTAAAATACTGCTCTACTCTGTAGGAAAATAAAAGAAAATTGTTGTCAAAGGAAGAGGTGATCAGTGGGGTTATAGCCAAAAACTGCAGGAAAAAAAGATTTACAGTAATGTGTCAGGCAGTTAATTTTAAAAAACACTATGCTATTTTTCTGGAGTTTAATGTTTATGGTATTATCAGTTTTTAAAATCTGAAATGTTTTGTATTATCTTCTCCCATTCTAAATCGTCACTTCTCTATCTAATAAAGAAAAAAAAATCAAAGAAGTAATTATGAGACCAAGGTAGAGACATAAAGGAATCAAAAGAGAATACGTTTGGCTAAAAACAATCCTGAACATTGTGGATAGGCTTGAAGAACTATCACAAAACAAACGAGAAAAGAGCCGATGATTTCAGAGATGCTGATAAATACTGAAAGGAGACAAAGGAGATCTAGTATACACTTAATTGATGCTCTTAGAAAAGACAATAAAATAAATGGAACAGAAAAGTATGCCAAGATATAATAGACAAAAACCTGCCTGATATAAAGATATTTGAACCTAAAAATTAAAGTTATTCCACATTTAAGAAAAAAATGAGTCAGAACAATCAGCATCAAGACATATCCTGGCGCAAAGATAATCTTACAAGCATTCAAGCAGAAAAAGCAAGCCAAGAAGGCAGAGGGAAAACCCCACTGGACCTCAGACTTCTAAACAGCGATGCTCCAGCCCAAAAGGCAGTGTCTGCACAGCAACTAGGGAAAGGGAGTGTGAACCAAGAATTTCATATCAACAACGACCACAGTCAGACATTCTCAGGTATGCAAAATTTAGCCAATCAAGAAATAAAGTGAAATGAGCAATTCAAGGTTGGCAAAACCATGGAAAATAATTAGTGATTGTTAAATTAGAAATAAACACGTGTGCAAGTTACAATTACAGAAAAGAACCTATCTTTATAAATCTTAACATTAAAATTCCAGTACTGCATTTATCACAAATGGAGGGAAGAAAGGGGGAAAGCATAAGTATGCGACTCTTCTTTTGTAATAGGCAACTACCTATTACAAAGCTTCAAAGACAAATAACAGCTTAAAGCTTTTTTAGTACTTTTCTTAACTTTCAAACTGTAATAAATTCTCCTGTGATGAACAAATTTTTATCCAAAGTTCAGTAACTACTCCTATTTCACTGAAGTTTCCTCTTTTGTTAAATTCAACAAAAAGCAAATATATGGCTACGAACACACTTTTAGAAAATTATTTCTATCCATCCAGCCATTCATCTTTATGTGAACATAAAAGAGAAGCTGTAATGTTCACAAATGTTCACATTGCTTCTGCTAGATGGTGAGATATGGGGGTTTTTTAAATTACTTTTTTTGTTTTGACTTCTTCTGTACTTTATTACTACATAAAAATTTACTATGTACAGGTATCAATTTTACAAATAATCAGATCATAGTTCTTTTTTAAACTGAAGAATTAAATTCTTAAGAAGCAACGTCATATTCATTTGGAGCTTTTAGAAAACAAGAAAAAAATAAGTCACTGAAATAGAAGACGCAGACGGAGCCTTTACAACAAAAGAGAAACTCACGGTCACAGCAGCCACTCTTCGAGGCTGGGTCACTCCCACCACTCTTCCTTCGGCTGTCCAGCCAGCTTCTGCAAGGTACTACAAATAAAAGCACGTCTGAGTACATAGCTGATACCACTTCTCCAGAATCAGTCTCTCCCAAGATGACCCTGGACTGTGTTACAATCACTGAGAAAGGAAATAGCAGGTGGCTCTTGTCCCAGCAGACATTTTAAAAATTATTTTGCAGATGAGGGATGTGAAATTTGGAAATGTTACGTAATTTGCTTAAGTTCACAGCAGAGGTGATAATCAGATGAACCAAAGCACAAATTCAACATTCTGACTCCCCGGTCTTAAATTTCCCCATACTACAGCTGCCCCAAGGAAGGAAAAACCACCCTTGGGTCACTCAGAACAGTGCTAAATCTGTAGAACAAAGAATTTTAAAGTACACACAGAGACAGTTCCATATAAATATCAACCATATAAACCATTTTAGTCAGATTAAATAATCAGATTTTATACACCTGTATATATGCCATTAGATCATATTACTATATCTAAAATTTGACTATATGTATTTATCTGATTTATTTACGTATTTATTTGCCATATGTATTTATGTATTTATTTGATTATATGCATTTTTTAAATCCAAAATGGATAACAGTGGTTATCAGAGTTACATATTTTTGTAATGCCTAAATTCTTTTACAACAAATATATTATTACTTCTATAATAGAAAAAGATTTAAAATGCTATTATATGTATCTGATCATTTGTCCAAAAGAAATAAAGGAAGAGCAAACTGGAAACTAAAGAGAATGGTTGCCCATGAAGGATGGGGAGGAAAGGAGTGGAAAAGGCGAGAAATGGAACCAGGGCAGCAGGGATGCAGAGGGAGGTGCAATTCCCTGACCTCCGACTCACAGAAACACAGCCACGTTTCACACACTCTTCAAGTACCCAAACAAATAAACAAAACCAACCAGGATGTGGAGGGAAACCAAAAGGAGATGCAAACACTAACAATGACCCTTTCTGTATCACAAATGAATAACATGATCACACTGAAGGGGATGGAGAAAAGAACGAACGTAAGTAACTGGAAAACAGTATCTTGACTGGATGCTGTAAGGCCCAAAACAAAAAGAACTCTACCTAAATGCTATACTCCAGTTAGTAAATGTTAGGGGCATGGGTTAGCAAATCTGAAGCTCTTTTAGTTGAGGAGCTAGAATTTAACAATAAATAAATACATTGTACATAATGAGAATGGAGTTTCTCATTGCTGAAGAGTTACAAACAAGGAAAGACTAAATTAAGCCCTATGGTGTTGGACTGGAATCAACCAAGCATCAGTATAAATTCATGATTTTTAATATATTTACAGATTGATACAGACATATAAGTGTTTTTATATGTGCAGGTTAGTATTCATATACAATACATATATATATCTATATTTCCTATGTCTGCCCACTGAGACTCATAGCAATGACACCTTAATAGCAATGCACACACTAACGCCCAAATCTTCACTTTTAAACACCCTTCTCCAATAAAAGGAACCACGGCTCCTTGGAGAAGTGGTTGATCCCAAGGCCAGTGCAGGAAAAATATAAGACAAGCCTGAGACATTTTGTGTTACTAGAAAGTAAGGAAGTGTTCAAAAAAAAGGATGGAGGCTTTTAGAAAGAACACAGGAAGGAGCTCCTAATGACCAAAGCTGGACCATTTTGAGCAACAAAGTAAATGACAGTATTGAATTTTAACTGATACAACAAAATAAATATCCATGAATCCATTCTGATATACAGAAGTAATTGAATGAATAAATAAATGAGGGAGAAAGGATAGTTCTTCCTCACAGAAGATTCCATTTAATAACTGTAGAAAGAAAAAGGAATAGAGAAAATCATCATTCGGCAAACACCTGAGTAGCTGCTGCAGACAAGATCCACCGAGGGAGGCTAAAATTAGTTGGCGACAGTTTGAAAAAGAACAGAATATTTGCAATCTAAAAATATCTCCTCCAAGAGATTTGTCACCCACAAAGGCAAAGACAGTTACCTTCATAGGTGAAACCTGGCACCTTAACAAAGTGATCAATTCAACCTCATCAGTGACAAGACTTCAACACCTCAACCCCCTTGATACGACACACCAAGAAGGACGCATCATTTCTGTGGGATTCTTACCAAAGATGCATAAGCTCATTCTAATCATAAGAAAACATCATACAAACCCAATGTGAGGTACTCTGTATAAAGTAAACGCCCAGGACTCTTCAAAAATGTAAAGGTCATAAAAGACGAAGGAAAGACTGAGGAACTCTCACAGACCAGGGGAGACTAGGGAGAAGTAACAACTAAATGCAATGCAGGACCCTGGATCTTGGACCTGAGAGAGAACATTGGTGGGAGAACTGATGAGCTTCACGTAAGGGCCAGAGTCCAGTTCCTAGTATTGCACCAGCGTTCATGTCCTGCTCTTCATTATTGCAATAGGAGAAGTGGTGTAAGGGGTATAAGGGAATTTTGTACTATTTCTGCAACTTTCCTGTTAGTCTTAAATTAGCTAGAAATAATTATCTTAAAAATGACTGTAAGGAACAAAATGTTTTAGATAATGTAGGTTTTCTTGTTGCAAAAAACTGTGAAGTTTCTCTTTCTTGCCTTACATACACAAAATACTTACATACACAAAATACTTACATACACAAAATACATACACAAAATACTACCAACCACCCCAATCAACACAAATACAGAAACAGAACTACAGGAATAATAGCTAAGACTCACCAAGTACATCACTAAGTGCCAGAAACTGTTTTGCATGCACAACCCTGTTTAATTCTCACAACAAATCTAATGCAGAACAGCATCGTCAACAATTTAGAGATGAGGAAACAAAGAGGTCATCTGACTTGTCCAAGGACACAGATAAAAATCTAAGAGCTGGGATTCAAGCTCAGCAAACCAAAGCCACATAACTGGGACACAGTTCTACCAACCAAAATAGAAATCACACACACTAGTAGTAAATCTCTTAGTTGTAGTGTTATGGGAAAGAAAAATAATTTCCACAATAAGAGACTTGTCCATGAAGGCAGACTCTCAATACACTGGAGATTCAGACTTCTGCCTGCTCATGATTGCTGACAGGTGGAAATTTAAAGATGCTGCAAGAGCAGGTATAGTGTTGACATCAAGAGGCAGAGGATGTCACAAAGGGAAATTGCTGAATTCCATCTCAGTTCTCCCCATTCTTTTCAAGGGTCACCACATCTGGTCTTCTTGTCAAAGACTGGGATTAGGAAGAACTTCACCAAAAACAGTACTAATAAAAATCGTAGTACAGAGCCTGTTTTCGTGGTCCATTGTTCTGACAGAGTGCTAGGGAAAAATATCATCTAGGTTCCACATATAGTTGTGAAATTCCAAGGCTGCTGTCGGATGCGACGGCACGCTGTACTTTTCCAAGGAAAGATATTATATAAATCTAGCAAAACACTTTGTTAACAAAAACCTGCTTCATATTCTTGCCATGACCTTCAGTTCCTCAGCTTTTCCAGTTTCCCTAGGCCGTAACTCACGTTCAGCTCCACAAGAAGTTGGAAACTGTGACTGATCTCAGAGAAGTGGAATTGAATAGTAGGGGGAAAGATGAATAATCCTTCTACAGGAGAGGGAGCAGATATTTGAACCAATAATATAATCCATCACAATCATCCAGTCATTTTCACCAGTAAAGTTTAGGAAATACACTTTTTACCATTTATTCCCTGTGCTTTTTGCATTTTGTACCATGAACGTATTTCCTATTCAGAAACACAATGCTTATCAAAAAAAATCATAGTTCCTTAAAAATAATTAAATTCAAATACATACACCCTTTGACCCAGCAACTCCATAACTATATTTATTCTATAAGTATATCCATATGTGTGCAAAGTGAGATGCTTGCAAATTGACTCACTGCATCATTGTGATAACACAAAACTGGAAACAACCTAAATGTCTATCAACTGGGAACTGGTAAAATCAATCATGTGGAATCTGTGCAACAAAAAAAAAAGAATGATGGGCATGAAGTGGGAAAAAAAAACCCCAAACAAGGTACATAAAGCATGCACAGAGATTTACAGATACCACTTGTATTTTAAAGGGAAAGGAATGTATGTGTATGTGTATGTGTGTGTGTGTGTGTGTGTGTACACATTTCTCTGTAAAACCAATTAAAATCTCTGAGAAACTAATAACAGCAACTGTATCTGCATTAAAGAATTAAGTATCAGAAGACAGGGCAGAAGGGAAATCTTTCTCTTTTTATCTCCTTTTGTGTCTTTTGAATTTTAAACCATATGAATCTGCTAAATTTCCCCTGCAAAATTAAAAATATTAAAAGAAAGCTTAAAATTAAAGCCAAAAATACTGCCTGTGTTTGCTGTCACACTGCCCAGGCCGCCCTATCCCCTTCGGAAAATCCTTTCCCTGGAACTCAGCCCCTCAGCAGGTCTTCTCTGCTCCCTGGCAGCTATGCCTCGCTGGGGGAAATGATCAGACCGTTGTGCTGTATCATATTACTGATCCAAATATCTGCTACGCATCCCTGTGGGAGGGCAATATGCCCCGCCGCCTTGTTGCTATCAGGCCCGGCCATGTAATTTGCTTTGACCAACGACTGTGAGAAGTGTCACTTTCAGCCAGAAGTTTTAAGAGACAGCTCATGACTCCGTCATCTACTACAAGACCCACAAGCCCCAGGCAGGAGCTGCGGCGTCAGCCTAGGTCCCAGTGATCACGTGGAGCAGACCTTACCTTCGGTCATCAACCCAAGAAGACCACAGAGTATGAGGAATAAAAAAACCTTTTGTGTTTTTAAGCCACGGAGATTTTCAGGTTCTTTGTTATCATAACAGTTTATCCTAAGCTGACTAAATAACCATACAGACTAATTCCAAAACAAACTAAAATCATCTCATCTCACATGGCCTTTGACCTCTGCTCTATATAACCCCACCTCACTTCTCTCTACAGTGTCCTCATCTGTAAAATGAAGAGAACTAGAGTCTGCCTCACAAAATCGCTGACTGATATGCGTCAAGTGATCACTTTATGTGCACTTACTATAATTATTACTTAGTTACTTGGTTTGTTATTGTTGTTGTTATTATCATTACTCAGTAATGCAACAGGACCCTTCTCCTGTGTCTCTCTGCAAGAAGTAACTTGCCAGGGTCTTGATACCACCTGCACATATGTTCTCCCTCCAGGTCACCATGTCCTCTGCTGTCCTTTCTCCACCAAGTCATTCCCTTGTGTCTACCTTACCCTCGCTGCACATCAGATCACCTGAGGAAATTTTATGAAATGCCTCTGTCTGGGCCCCATCCTAAACTCACTATTGTGTTGGGCAAAAGCAGCTTTTTTTCTTTATAAGAGTTCAAAAACAGACAGAACTAATCTACAGTGTTAGAAGCCAAAAGAAGAGTTACCCTTGTATTTTGTGGGGGCAGGAAGAAAGGGCTGGAGACCAGAAGGGGAAACAGGGGACTTCCAGGGTTCTGGTGATGTTCTGTTCTGTTTCTTGATCTGGGTGCTGGTAACACAGGTGTATTCACTTGTGAAGGTTTATCAAGCTGAACAATTACGATGTTAAGTACTTTCTAGTATGTATTTTCTGATACTTCAATAAGAATCTATACTAACAAAGGAAAGAAAAATCCACAAGGACTCTTATCCCTGACCGCTGAAGTATTATTCTTTATCCTCCAAGTCGAGGCTCTCAAGACACTCTGACTTCACCCTGTCTTTCCACTCTTGATCCTATCTGTCCACTCTGTCGAGCCCCAAACACTTCTCCACCCCAACATCTCTGACCACAATATTCACTAGATGAGAACATCTTCCCAGCCAGCTCCCACTGATTGTTCAATGTCATTTCTTTCACAAGGCTTTTCCTGATCCTTCTTTCCACTTCTATTCACACCAGGTATGATTTTGCCTTGTAAGAGAGGGTTCTTCCATAGCACTGTGTAATTCTATAAGTCAATTTTTATTTACAACTCAAGTAGTATTCACCTTATTCCTCCTCTTCAACCACAATTATTTGAGGACAAAAACCTATGCGTTACACCTCTTCAAATGAGCCCCCATTCTTCCTTTCAGAGTATGGCTAGTCTGTTATTATTCTAGAATCATAATAGACTGAAGATGACTGTATTCACTACTAATGAAAGAAATTATACACCCCAAAAGTTTAATCAAAAACATCCAGTTGGGTGGAATATTTCCTCTCTGAGAGATTTTAGAAATGCAAAAAATAACCAAGAAGAGTTTTCAAGTTACAAAATCTGTCCAATCAAATCTAAGTACAAAGACACGTTTAAATATATACTCACTTGTGGAATCTGAGTGCTTTTCCCACATCCTGTTTCTCCAACAATCACCACTGTTTGATAGTTTTCTATTAAGTATAGTATATGATTCCTAAGCTGAAAAAAATAGAACCATACATTGTAAATAGCCATACATTTTCTCAAAAGACCTAAACAAAGATATTCAAACATTATGAAATGAGCTGTCAGCCAAAGGAAAGCAAATTCTAAAAAGAACCATCAAAATATATTTCCGATATATATCAAAATATGTCTCAGGTACTGCTGGTGTCAGTACACGGTGATACAACTGCAGCTCAGGGTTGTAACTTACCCAAACATATAAAGCACATACCCTTTGATTCGAGCTTTCCACTGATGAGAAACTACTACAGACATCCTAACACATGGGAATAAAGACGTACATATAGGCATACTCATGGCAATATCGTTCATAAGAACAAAAATTCAAACAGCCTAGATGTTCATCAACAGGGGAGTGGTTCAACAGTTATGAAACACTCCAATGATGGAATACTGCACGGCTGTTAAAAGAATAAATGGCCACTTGTACTGAAATGGAATGGTCAATGAGGTCTGCTATGGTAAGAAAGCAAGGTACTGGATAGCGTGAATGATACACTACTGTTTGTGTTTTTAAAGAAAGGGTAAATACATACATGCTTCTTTATGTATAAGCTCATTTGGGAAAAACAAAACAAGAAACTGGGAACTGTACTGTCTCCAGGGAGTGGAAGAAAGTGGCTGGGAAGCCACGGTGTGAAGGAGATCCTCTGAATTTTGTACAATATGCATGTATTACCCAATTTAAATTTTTTTCACTTACTAACTTGTGAAAACAAACAAAAAGAATATGCTTTCACCTCTACCTCTAAAGCCAAGTTCACGATAAAGCACCCACAGGTTACATCTCTATTTCAATTGGGCCTTCCTTTACCCATTCAATATGAGCAGAATCGCTGGTCTGGCCACTGAAAAGTCACAGATAATTCCAACGTCCTGTGTACTTAGCTTCAGAATGTATTTCTGGACCCACATTTGACTACAGACACCCCTGATGATCAAGAAAGTCATGAAGGTATTCCACAAATTCCTGGTTTGGAATGAAGCAAAACCCCACCAAATTCCCCAACTCTGATCACTGCTCAGCTCATCCGATCCCACACCAACAATGGGTCCGGAGAAGACCGGGGGAGCCAGGGTGCTGACTTACTGACAAAAGAACGTATTGGCTGTTTGTGGTTTTGAATTTGGCATTATTTGGAAGCGAAATATGTAGTTCTCAACTTTTAGTGTAAAAAAATCTCTTGGGATATCTGTTAAAAATGAAGATTTCTAGCTCTACCCTCAGGGTTTCTGATTCAGCAGGGCTAGGGTGGGGCCAGGAATCTGCACTTCAACAGGCACCCAAAGGACATTCTGCTGCAGGTGATCTAATGACTAGATGTTTTCTTGTTGACTGCTTGGACCCTGTGCTTTGTTTTGCGTAGGATAAGGGGAAACGTTTGGGTTCTCTGCAGATATTTCGTAAAATGATAGATCCATCCACTGGGTGGATGGATGGACAGGTGAGTGGGTGGTCAAGGAAAACTTGAAAGACGATTTGAATATGGATAGAAAGAGACACACAGGGCATCCCAGGAAAGGGAAATAGCGTAAGTCAAGGAAAGAAGATGAAAATAAGCAAACCATACGGACTTTATTCAAGGGTCCTATAAAAAACCCACAGAAGGCTCACAGGTTTGGTTTGGAAATAAATAACAAGAGGTGTAGTCAGGGCTTCACTGCGAAAGACTTAAATGTAGAGCTAGAGTCTGGACTTTACCTGAAGGCAGTATATGCTGTGTTCTGAGAAAACGGGGCAGCTCTGATTGATTTAAACATGAAGAAACTGAAGGCATTAATTCATCCTTCATCTGCAAAATGTGAAGCACTGCAGATGGAGACTCCAACGTGTGACATTCAAGAGATGACAAAAAGATGTGCAGTTTGAAGCCTGGGAGAATGACGGTACCCTGGACAGGCGCAGGCAGGGAAATCAAGGAGGGCTGGTGCAGAGGACCAGACTGAGCCTCAAAGAGGTTGAGTTTAACGGAATAAGAGGACAGCTTTGTACAGGAGTGGCCAGGGCCCAAGAACACCAGCCTGTGGGAGGGAGCCAAAGGGAAGCCCACCTTGAAATGCACTGAGGAAAAGCAGGTGAGCCTTACATTTACTGCTGCTTTGGTTTCAACTCCTTTTTTTAAATGGAGGTACTGGGGATTGAATCCAGGACCTCATGCACACTAAGCATGCGCTCTCCCACTGAGCTATAACCACCTGCTTCAGCTTCTATTTGAAAGCTATTTAGTTTCAGTGGGGAAGAGGGTGGTGAATGGGTAACTTTTTATCCTTTTTTATCTTTAACATCTTGAGATCATAACTACGTTTAAACTCTGCTATGATTTTTATCAATAACATATACCTCTTCTTAACATTTTATTTTCATCAATATGTTAACTTCTTGCTGACTTTTCTTTTTCATCTGTTTATATTATATTTTTTAAGTACAGTTGGAGGATGAAGAACAGTCACGAAAACTAAATACTCAATAAACAATAATTATCCTTGTACTTGAACATTTACTACATGCCTTGCTAAATGCTCTCTGTGGATTATCTCATCTGGTCCTCATAACCACCCTATGAGGTAGGATCATTAGTCCCATATTATAGATAAGGAAACAGAAGCTCAGACAGTGAAGTAACGTCACACAGCACATAAATGACGAAGCCTGGGGTTGAACTTTGAAGTCTAGCTCCAGATTCCAGATACTTCATCACAGCTCAAACTGTGTCCTTCAATGCTGAACCTATAATCTTATCTCCTGAGGCTCAAACTGGTGTACATTTACACATAACGGATGAGGTTAATCACCTGCAGAAGAAATCCAGAGACTGTCGGTACATGAGTGATGGAAACCTTGGGGGCCACGTACATCTCTAGTCAAGGTGATTGGGCTAAATGAAGAAGGTGGCTGTTTCATATTTATTTGGAGAAAGAACACAGTAATAGAAGAGGAGTTATTAGCATAGTCTAGACAAAGAAACTCCCTACGTATAAGAACCTGACAGCTTTCACCCAACACTGTCCAGGGGAAAGAGAGAGAGAGATGTGGGTGCTGGTGGCCACACCTACTCAGGTCATTCTAGAGGCATCATATGAGGCAGGGAGAGTTCATCACCCCTCATCAGGGGCTACAATAAATAAATATCTTTCAACTAGACCTAAGTCACCTTTGGCTCTGGGCCTACTTCCTGATTACAGTCTGGCTTCCCATGTGGACTTGGTAACAGGGAGAGAGTATATCCATGGACTCTGTCCACCTGTCCCTGAGAACGACAGCTTACTGCAAATGAGCAGATTCTGAATTCCAGTTTACACTTGGGTCTCTTGTGAGATGAGTATATGCATCCATTTCAGGAGACTAATAAAATCAAGCGTCTGGATGTGCACAAGGTATGTAATAACCACACCAAAATCCCGACACTATCCCAGTGGGAGTTAACCTCTTCAACAGAAACAACCTCGGATTTCTAATTAAACTTGTGAAAAGAAGTATGCCTTTAAAAAGAAAGCAAAAATTGGCCATATGCTGGTAATTTGTTGAAGACGGATACATAAAAATGCACAGTGCCGTTTTCTCTACTTTTTCTGTATGTTTGAACTTGTCCATAATTGAAAGCAGAGAGGGGAAAAGGATGCCATTCCAGTTTTTCCAATCTGTAAGATTAGCCGGAAAAAAAGATCTTATGGACTTTCCAGATTTATGAGGTTAACTAATACACATATTTTGTGGAGTTGATTCCTTCAGATAAGGGTATCCCTGAGCTCACTGTGTTCTAAAGAAGTATTAAGAGTAAGAGGACATTGTTCGCTCCAGTGTCAAGGATAAAGCTACTGCAGGCTGCTCTGGGCCGACGGCTGGACGTGCTTATTCAGTGTACCTTGAACACTGGCAGCTTCTGCCTCTGCTGCTCTATAGAGAGCGCAGCGTAAGGATTGTAAACAACAGTGGTTGCAGAGTTTTCAGCTAGACTCTGTCTCTCTTCAGAGATGCTGACGCCTGGTCCCTCTGTACCTGTAACAGAAATGGGGTTTTTTTTCAGATTCTCTGAAACAATGAGCAGAAAAGTGTGCAAAAGTTACAAAGACAAAGATACACAACAGCAGCAATGAATTTTATCTCCAACTAAGAGGTATTAAACTGTAGGCTCAGGAAGGCATCTAGAAAAGTACCCATGAGAACACAGATAAGCCTCATTGCAGCCCCCAAGAACAAAGGCGATGCGGGTCCCCTTGGGCTCCAAACTGGCCACACACAACCGTACATGACAGAGGACAATGTTTTGAGTTTGGATTCCATGTCAGGATTATAACCAAACTCTGTATAAAAGTGACAAAAACCCAGTGGGAATTAGCTGAGGCAAACGATGAATCCTGCTACCACAGGACGGCAGCACGGCTCAGGGACCACAGGCGCCGGGACTCGCAGGCTGCCTGGCTGTTCTCTGTCTGCACCTCTCGACAGGCTCCTTGCAGTCCCTTGGGCTGGCTTCTCTACCAGAGCCGGGATCAAGGCTGCGGCCAGTGCCAGAGCTCAGGCTCACAGTTCCTCCACCAATCATTCATTCACCACCACCCCCACCCCACCCCCCCGCAAGGATGGAAGCACGAGAGAGAGCAGTGAGCACTACAGAGGCAGGCCCCACCCTCGGAAAGCAGACTTGCTTCTTTTACTCTCCCTCCCAGAAGAACGTAACTTAGTGCACGAAGTGGTAATGGAGAAAATTACAGAGCTGGGAGAGGGACCAGGGGTCCCAGGTGTCTGTGGTCTGCCCGGGGAGTGGAGAAGGCTCTTTCTCTCCCAGCTTAGATCCAAAGCCCAGCCTGATCCAATCTACCACAGCCCTGGGGGTAGTACCGCAAGTGGCAGCCCCTACTGGAATCACAAAACTGGAGTGGTTGGGTGGGAAGTGCCGGTCCAAGAAACCACTGAGCTAAGCAGAGTAAACACCAGGTACCCATGATGGCTTCTTGGTAAGAACAACAACAAACCGGGGCTCCAGTTGGTGAAGAAAGGGGAAGCCATATCCCACCATGAAAAGCTGTTAAAAGTACCATGGATTTTTAGCATGAAAAGGGAAATGCCTTAGGCTCAATTTTTATGATCGGCCTCCACAACCTTTCACGACAAATTGTTTGTGGAGCCCAGGACAGAAGGCAGAGTAGTAAGTAAATGATACAGTGTTCAAAATACAACTCAACATAGGAAAGATATCTCCACAAGTTAGAGCTGTTCAGCACTGGGGTATGCTGCCTTTGTGAATCAACAAAAACCCTCTCTACAAGTTGAGCCTTCTGTTAGGGGAGCTGCAGGGAGAATCCCCCAAACTATCATTTCCCAAGTTTTCTCTACCCAGAATCTGTGATGCTGAAATCTGTCACAGTATAGCAGCTTTGTGATAAGAGTATTTAGCCCAATGATTTATGTTTACATTTTGGAGGGTCCCAGATCCCTTCAACAATCTAATAAAGGCTATGAACTCCACCTCTTGAAAAGTATATCAGAATGTAATTTATCAGAACACAAAATGCTGGAGGTCCACAGGCCCCCTAGAGTGACATGCAGAATCACTCCCATAGACCTCTGATCCCTTTGCCATTTGTTTCTAGGAACATAGTTGTGTTCCAGAGGTCCAAGATTGCCAAAAATCAGGTAAGTGGGGCACTGCTGTAATGTTTTTGCCAAAATGTTGACCTTCCTTTCAACAAGATAAAAGATAGAACAGGACCTGGAACAAAGCCTGAGCTCAAAGAGGCAGGTTTCCTTTCCTTTCTCTCCTTATCAGCGCTACATCTTATTAACTCCTTGTAATCTTCACTCGAGAAAACTTCAGGAAAGAATACCCTATCCTCATCAGCTCTGTTTTTGTCCCTCCTTTTCAAAATGTTTTAAACCTTTACAGCACGTCTAGAGTATTTTTACACTGCTCCTGCAAAGTCTCTTACTTCCTCCCACACCAAGGTTCAATCCACGCAGGTGTCTTCCTGACTACCCCACCCTCCTTGCCCCTAACCCACAGCCAAGTACACTTCAGTATAATTGAGTTATGAGATCTTTTACAAGAACAGCTGCTGCCGATCAATGAGGAGCATGTCTCCTCCTTACAAAAGACTCCATTCAGCCATACCACGGCTGCTTCCTCACTACACGTACATCCCACGGCCCAACCTGGCTGCCAATGGTTTGTTTTTCCCTTGGGAACATTCTCAATGTTTAAGAGAGTAACAAATTTGTAAATCCTGCAAACCACAAAGACCTTCATTTCTCCATCTATAAAGCAAGGCTGATAATAGCACCCTCAACCCCACCCCATTCCAGCATTCCCTCTAACCCAGTTTTTCAGTTTGAGGGAAGTGACCCATTAATGGGCTGTGACATTCATGTAGTGGGTCACGACCAGCACTTTTTAATAATGACCTAGAACTAGAATAGAAAGTATCAGAGTGCATCCCAAAAAGCAACACTGTTTTTGTACACTTTTCAGTTGTGTCTGTGTGCGTGCACACATGCTGGATTACAACACAGTATATTCTGTATACCCATGCTGGATCACAATACAGTTCTTCCTGTATATCAGGTCAAAAACTCTTCTAAGCTGTTGCTATAAAGTGTTTGCCAGGCACATGGTCAAATATTTATTTATCATTAAATATTTGTTGAATGAATGAAAGAAGATGGCCAGGCCTTTCTGATCTACTTGAACTGGTAAATTAAATCAAACTTTTTTCTACAAAAATCTCAGGCAGCTCATACAAAGAGATCACAAACTAGTTACTTGAGGTCCCCAAACATGCCATCGTTAGAATTTTTGAAATAGTTCATTTAAAACATAAAAATTTCCCATTCTGGACATTAGGCTTAGAGGAAAAAAAAAATCTGAGCCCATATGACAACCATGAGGTGGAACCAAGTACAGCTTCCTGCTTTAGACAGCATATGGACGCTCGGGTGTAACCTCCACTGTACACATCTCTGTCTTGCACACTCTAGTTTGTGCACACACAGTTCCCACCGCTCCATATTACTTCCACCCAGCAGCTTCACTTATTCAGATTGCCTGAAAGGCCCCTACAGCTATCTGAGCTTGTAACTCCCAGCATATAGGGTATGTTCATCTAGTCTTACATCCACCCTCAATCAGTTTCCTGACCTTCACCACGTATTTCCCACATCCTGTTTTCAAACCTAAAGGAAACTTTAGTTTCCTCATCTGTAAAATGAGATCACTACCTCCGTCACACAGATATAGTGACTGCTTAGTAAGATGATGTAAGGAAAAGTGACTCACAAAGTCAGGGCTCAGGAAGTGTGCACTAAATCCATTCCCATCTCAGTTGGTGATAACACAGTTTACCTAGACCAGTGGTTCCCAAACTTTGATGCATGCTCAAATCACCAGGGGATCTTCAAAAAAATACTGATGCCTGGTTCCTAGCCCTCCACGTTTCTGAGTCATTGCCATGGGGTATGACTAAACAGCAGGAGTTTTAAAAGCTTCCCAAGTGATTCAACTACACAGCAAAATTTGAGAACCACTCTGGGTCAGATAGTCACCAAACCCAGAAACCTCAGTTATTACTGACTCTACCTGCCCACACATTTGCCTCTAAAATGTCTCTCCCCTCTGCTCACATGTCAGAATTGAGGCTTTCAATATCCCTTCTCTTAAAGGTGTCCCTGACTCTACTTTCTTCCCCCAAACTTTCTGCACACCACTGCCAGAGTTATCTTCCAAAAATACCTGATCGTGTCATCCCCTGCTTAAACAGTGAAATTCAAATACTTTATTTTCTTGTTTGTTTGGTTTGGGGGGGGGTTAATGTTTTTTATTGATTTAT